GCATTTGTAAAGATACTTGTACACAAGTACATTGACTAGGATCCCTCTCAGCGATTTGATTTACACAATGAATAGTCGTGAAGAGTAATTACACTTACGTTTTTCCATATATAAATGACAATCGAACTGCGAGCAATGATTATTATATATATTTATAAAATACATAATTTTGACAAATCTTTCGTGGATCTTTTCTGACAATGGCACACGGCGTTACGGATGAATATAAACGTGAATATTTTGATTCTGAAATAGAATTAGAAAAAAAATTAGATCAACTTGCACAATGGATTAGTGCCAGTAAACATTTTATCGTATTTACAGGTATTTCTATGGAACTTATCTTTTCATTTACGTTTATTTTTGTCATTTCATTTATGTAGGAGCAGGAGTTAGCACGTCAACAGGTATACCAGATTTTCGTTCTGGTATGGATACCGTTCTGACAACGGGCCCCGGCGCATGGGAATTGCGTGATAATAATTCTGCTCGACCAAAAAATGCAAAAGTATTACCTGACATGAACAAAGCCATTCCATCTCCGACACACATGTACGTTGATCTACCATAGACCTATTTTGTTATTTTCTTGTACTTTTTTTTTATATTAAAAGGGCACTAGTCGAATTACAACGTCGTGGTATATTGAAATGTGTTGTGAGTCAAAACTGCGATGGCTTACATCTTCGATCTGGTTTAAATCCAACCGGTTTGGCTGAACTGCATGGCAACATGAATCTTGAAATTTGTTCAAAATGTGAAGCTAAATATTTAAGAGATTATGATACTGGTATTGGAAGACGAGATCACTTAACGGGTAGAAGATGCGATAAAAAAGAGTGTGATGGACTTTTAAAAGATTCAATTATTCATTTTGGCGAAAGTAATTAACATACAATTTTATTGAATATCAATACTTTATAAGTATCTTAAATTTAGATTTACCAAAAAGCGAGTTGAGCAAAGCATTTGAACATGCAGATAAAGCTGACGTATGTCTTGCATTAGGTAAGGTTATTATTTGTCTATATCATTGTATACTGTAAATTTAAAGTTTTAGGTTCTAGTTTAAACGTCACTCCTGCAGCTGATGTACCTCGAAAAGTTGCCGAACGTAAGCAAAAACTGATTATTGGTAATTTACAGCGCACTGCTCTGCATGGTAGCTCATTATTGAATATTCATACATTCACCGATACAATCATGCAAGGTTTAATGAAACGCCTCAATTTGCCAATTCCTACTTGGATAGTTCGTCGACGTATTCGATTTCAAATTAAAAATGATTCAAAAAATTCTTATCAAGTGTTAATCGAAGGACGCGATCCCGATCAAGATTTACCATATTCATTATTCAAATCAATTCTTGTTAACATTGATAATACAGAATTAAAATCGGAAACATCCAACTCAAAATTTATATTGAAGGAAGAACCATTCGGATTTGTAGCTGATATTGAAGATGAAAAAAGTACAACGAAAATTCAATTGCAAATAAACTTTTTTGGACACTATAATGAACTACCGTATAACCTTGAGTATGTTTTACAGAATATCGAGGACGAATTTTATTTATTTTATAATCCTAGGACGGGAGTTTGGCTAAGAAAATCTCGAGCAGATGATGTTACAGAGTGAAAAACTACATACATGTTCTTTTTGTATATTTATATGTTGTTCAATATTATGTTTTATTAAAATAATCCTGACACAGTATTATTTCAACTCAACAATGTTTCCCGAGGAATTTCATAATAAAGCTACTCACCAATGTACTTTGCCCAGATAAACGCTCAAAATTATGGCTAGTACTGAACTAGATTTTTACTAATAATAACTATGTCAAAGGCCAACCTTTGTTTATGAAAACAGAAGATAGAATACGAAATTGAATTCGTCCTATTTCACACGTGATTAAGAAATAGTCAGAATGAAAGAGCATGTGATTCTATGACAATTCACAATTTCCTTCAATACATTTCCTGAACAAGGCAGTAGTATAGTGAAGAAAAGTATGATATAGTATTCGATGTAGTTTTTCACGACGAAGAATACTATCGCATATTTGTTGGAACATCACTCGTAAAAAACTGAAACCTAATGTGCTCCGTTTGAATATACTCTTATTCCCATTTTTCCACTACAAACGAATTTAGATTACAGCACAGCTAGTGATGATCCGTAAGACGCAAGAGACGTTAATTTTCTAGTAGGTTCTTTCGTCTCTCGTGACGACAAAAGGAAAGGAAAGAGAAAACATAGCTAACGTGCAGCTTTAAGGAAAATGTTTTTCTTGGCGTACGAAACGAAGAACTTTCATACGTATATTACGCGAAATTTTTAACGTAAGTGAATCATCCTTAACGAAATAAAGATGTGTTTTCTTTCTGTTCACTCTTGCAACACTGAACGTATTGAAGTGGAAATGATTACTATCACTTTGTTCAAACAAGAGTATTAAAAACACATTGCTATGAACTCGCAGTCAGTTCCATAATAACTCGAAATTGCCATTAGAAACAAGATATATATTTATGAAAATTAGTGAGTAACATTTAATCACGTTGTAGTCATAGAGCATTTATTTGCAAGTAGTTACTCATTTTTTCTTCCTCTGAAGCATGCGTGTATCGCCTGAAAAAGGCTGCCTACACCTGAGAAGTTTCACTGGATTTTATTCTAAAGAGGATTTTTTCTATGTTAACATTTCCTATTTGGTAATGAAGGTAGACAAAATGGTCAATTTAAAAGAATTTTGTTTTTATTTTGTTTTTTTATACATAGTGGAAAATAATTTATTTATTACCGATTGTGGATAAATTCAGCTATTAACCATAACAACTATTATGTACATATCGATATTTGTACGCACTAAATTGATTTGATAAATGTGATTCAAGTTGTACATGATGAATTCAATGAAACAGTGGGCTGGTTTATAAATCCAGCAATAAACAATACACTGTTAATGGATATCAGTCGTTTAATAAATGAATTATATCTGTTAGCTGAGGCTAGTGAAGGCAATGACTTAGCTGATTCATTAATACAAACAGAATCTGTAACAAAGTATCTGTTCTATATTTAATAAGTGCAAATAGTAGAAGTAACTCGATGGACTAAATGAAATAAAAGGAGACTTCATCAAAAAAATGCCTTTCCACACACACTTTTCTCTTTTGTGTTGGACACTGGTGCTCAGTTATTCCTAATCTTATAGATTTAGGATAAAGATGATTCAGACGTGTAGAGCGTCTTTATCCTACCCTACTCTGCATGGTAGGGTTTCAATGCCATAGGGCAGAACTAAGGCTCAACAAACAGCTACCCTGCACATCTCTATTATAGAGTGAATTTTTTTTCTCAATCTGTCTGCAATTCAATATTTTTGAATTGTAAAGGATTAGTCATTCGATTAACATGATTCGAATGACTCACTATAGTAATGATTTCTTTGAAACCTCTTTTTTCTACTTAAATCACACCCAAGTCTAATGTTTGAAAATACGCATAACATAGAGCGACATCTAGTCGACATATCTGGCAAAATCCGACAGCTCCATCTCCAATCGTTCGGGCAGGAGTGAACTTTCCCTGAGACACGTCAGAACCCGATTTTTGATTGTAACATACTTTTTGCACTGGATGCAAAATAGCCGGGAAAATCGACTTTTGGTAATTTTGAAAGTTTCATAACTCCACTAATTTTATCCAATCCGCGAGTTATTGTAACCCCAGATCCTGGGAGATGTTTTCTACAAACTGGCAAAATTTGCGGGTATGTTTGGGAGAGGGGAACCCTCCTTAAGAGATGAGTTCTGAAGGTTATATTTACCAAATGATTGTGTGTACCATGAAATGTGTTTATCAGTCTTTATATTTCTATGGTTTTTATTGATATTCATGCGAATTGTGAATATAATTCAGTTGGCAATAAACATTTTGTCCTACACTGTAAAAAATAACGCACGTTTAAACCATGCTAACCTGACGGTTTAAACGTCAAAACCTGGTGATTTTTTAAGCCTGACGTGTTATCCATTCTAACCTGACACTTTTTTCAAGCTGATGGTTAAAACGCCAGGTCAACACGACGTTTTAACCTTTCGGTTACAGGTACGGTAACCTCTGTATGATTTTGTATTGGGAGATGAAATAGCCGATGGGCAGGGTTTGAGTTTGAAAAGGCACACTTTGCTAAAGAATCGCTGAAGGAAGGTTCTCGGTTTTTTGAAATAAATACATTTTATATTTCACAGCGATGTCATCTTTCCCATAATAATGTATTTATCTCAAAAACGACGAATTTCTTGGAAAAACTGAAAACGACAAAGAGTTTCTAATTAGAATCTCTATTTAACGGGTGAGCCATAAAGAATGTCCCTCTCAGTATTTTGCTTATAACTTGGTTTGGGTTTGTTTCCGAGACTCTATGTTTTTTTAAAAGTTTTACTGCGAAATTCTCTACAAAATCATACCTAAACTATAATTTCAGAACTTCAATCAAGAAAACTAAGCCAATTCGAAAGCCAACTGGAAAGTCGAAAAAAATGTAAACTTCCTAAACTCAACATTTTTTTCGACTTGAACTTTTTCTTCTGCTACTATTTCCGCTAAAAAGTGTAGCAAAAGTGAGAACTCAGTTTATGTTTGGTACTTTCAAATGTGCTCTTTCTCGTGGTCTGTAAAAAAACTCGTTTAGAGCAGACGGTGTGTTCGAGAACCAAGTTACAAAAATACATCAAAAGTTGACAACCTCCCCGTTTCCAACAATGTGCTCAATCAAGAAACAGAAAAGATGACTGAAGTTTGATTTTGCAGTTAGATAGAGAAGAACAATCATTTCTGATCAAAACAAAGCAAACCCGACTAAAAAAGCTTTTATTTCGATGGAGTTATGGGGCTTTTACTGAAAGCAGTACTACATCCAAAATTTAGAAAATTAATGAAAAAATGCATGAGAATCGATAGAAAAACTATTATTTCGCTGTGGCTTTTGATGTGAAAAATTTTGAAGTGTAGCTAAAAGATAGAGCGAAGTCAGGGCTACAAAATGGCTAGTTCAGTTTTTCTTACTTTCAAAACGTTAATACACGACATCATTTTTGAGTTTAGGGAGTTTACATTTTTTTGACTTTCATCTAATTGACTTAGAATTTCGCAGCGCATCTTTTAAAAAAACATCGAGTCTCGAAAACAAACCCAAACCAAGTTATAAGCAAAATACCGAGTGGGACATTCTTTATGGGTCACCCGTTAATCCAAAACATTAAATACTTATCCAATTATTGATGTTTTTTTCTGTAATATTTGTTTATGTTTTTCTTGATCGATTGTTTTCTTTATAAAAAAGTTATATTCACAACATTAACGTTGTTGTAATAAAAATACAGAAGTTTATACTTTGATTTGTTTGTCAATCAGGACTTGCAAAAATATATGTCTGAACTCGTTATAAAAGAACCAGCGATCTCCTCACACTTTACCTTGTGAGGTTACCTCAGGTTATTCTTTGACATGTGTACTCTAAGGATCGGCGACTCGACAGCTTGCTATTCTTTCTAGGGTGCCGCGAACTAATCGGAGAGTTACAAAATGTGCAAAACGATCATCCCTACTTACGATTAAGGTGATAGATTCCTCTGTTTTACATCTGATTTCTTTGAACATTTTGAAAAAAACTAATTTAATATTTAGTTTGTGATTAACAATCGTCCTTGGAGCAGTATGCAACATATTACTTCTGCTGCTAAGGTTCTATGCATTTTGATTGAAAAATCAAATTTTAGTCATTATTTGCTTCTGTGAAGTTAATGATAAAACATTAAACATAAAAGAAAAAATAATTCATTTTAAAACATTCGATGATAGAAACCTGACGGTTTAAGCATCGTTTTTTTTTGTTTATTCAATCGCAGATGACTCATCAGACCTGACAGGAAACGCGTCAAAAATCGTCGTTTTGGCGTCAGGTTGAAACGGATAAAACGTCAGGTTGGATTTGTAGTTTAAAGGATGAATCATAACCTGACGTTTTAAGAGTCAAGTTGGAACGATTAAAGCGTGCGGTTTTTTTACAATGTATTCACGAAGATGGGCAAATCCAAGTTCGAATGTGACTAAATTTTCAATAGACTTGAACTTTGGATTTTTTATTTCAAGTCCACTATTAACTGCGGTCAAAAAGACTGGAGTGTCGAAAGTTTAAACAGGACGCTTGTCAAATAAGACGATTACAGCAAAGAACAGGTAGTTGAACTTACTAGCCATCAGGGCTCTCAGTTGAATAAAATACTGACAGAAATACTTGATAAATATAATTTTAGCCCTTTCGTAATTTTGATTAAAAACATAAATCATCGTAGTATATGGAGAATAAAAGTTTTATTTGTAAAATTTCAAGCGTTATCACTCAAATAACGATCTATGTGAAATAATTTGTATTTTCAGAAATTTTTCATTCAAGTGCTGCAGAGTTCAGGTTAGTTTCTTCTAATTAAAATGACCCCTTATTTTTACAGTTTTCTACAGTCCCACTGGATATATAACCTGCCTATCTTCTCATTCTACTTTCTTATACCGTTATACATTTGGACCTTTTAGTGTCTTTATAGTCTTTATATAGTCAACATGTGCTTGACCGCAACTTGTACCTTATAAGATGACTAAAAGAAGTAAAAAACTAATAGGCATATTCACTTATTCATCGCTATACTATATATATACTTTACAGTTAAAAAGATGTCGGGACAAACTTTGTATATTTCCCAATCTGTGTTTGAGGTGTTATCCTTTGAAAAGGAAAGAGTTTGCGCTGTATCTCTTTGTTCACCTGACATACTATGTTTTGAAAAGATGTCGAGTCTTCCAGGATGCTGAATGATTCTGCAGTAGATTCTCAAAGTCAGATCTAATTACACGAGTTGTCTACACACTAGTTTCCAGCTACCTCAAAAGAAGAGAAAAGACATCCCTCCTCTCCTCTTGAAAAATAACAGTAATTGAGAAAAAGTGATACACACAACACATGAGAAATAATATCTGTCACGATAGCATAGCAATGTGATTTTTCATTGTTTGTTTGTCGAAACTATTTTTAGAGTACAGACAAGGTGTAAAGATCTAAAGGAAATAATAAAAGTGAGCAATTGATTTTTTTTGAACACGCGGAAGTGATTATTCAGAACAAAGGAGCGTAAAGGATTACTAAAAATATCCAACAATAACTTGCAAATTAGATGAATGTTATAGTTGAAAAAGAAAAAATAGTTCATCATAATTAACTTTTAATTTTTCGATGATACAAAGCACAATAACAACAGCAACAACAACAAAAAGACTTTCACTCAAATATAATGAAATATATATATACAGGGCTGACGAAAAAAAACAAATCTTCACTTATCGTAGAAAAAAAATAACAAACAATAAAAATAAATGAATTTGATGCACATAATAAATTTCTCAAAAGAAAGAAAATATCATTCGGGATGAGTTCGACGTCTAATTGAGAAATGCTTTTTCTATTGATGATGATTTTTAGATCTGTCTGAGATTCATCAGTATTTCTCGTTCATGATCCATTAATATGAGAATAAGCTTAAAGAAAAATACGGAAAAAAAATGAAGCTTATCATGGTTAGCTTATCATGGTTAGAAAAAAAAAATATTTTGTGTCATTTATTGACATAGCATACAGACATATGGCATATAAGTTTGCTAATTTCAGTTTAACTAGGGAGCTAATATATCATCGTCGCCGCGTAAATCAGATGCATTGTCATCAAGAAAATAACCGGGTCTTGGCGTTGACATGTTACAACGACAACAAAAATCGCAGCCATCCTAAATAGAAAAGAAATAATAATTATCGATTGCAAGTACCACACACACGTTCAGAGATATACAAAGGTATTAAAGATTTTATTGCACAGTAGAATATCACAGAATGAGATGTAGTTAGTTTATTTCATGAGTTATTTCAGAAGTCAGGTTTTTGAAAAGATAAAAGTTGATATTTATATTTTTGAATATATTTAGATTTACAAAGTACTTAGTTCATTCACTCTTATTTCATAAAACTATACCTGTTTAAGACTCAAAGGGTCATAACGTGATTAAATGTATTATATAAAAATAAATGTATTCTTACCGCTGCGAGATGCCCTAGTTTCATCCACATTTCACGTTGAGGTATTTGTTCGAGACCTCTTGCACCACGAGTAAATCTCATGTATAAAAATCCTCCGATAAGATAAACACCTGATATGACAAGTAAAATAATAAGAAATATAGCACCGCCACTCATGCTTTTCTTTGGCTGTTTTGGACATAGTTCGGGTACTTCAACTTGAAATACATATGAACAGCGTGGTGTACGAATTAAGTAATCCAATAATGCTGTAGCACCTGACTAAAAAATCAATAAAAAATCATAATTCATAACAAACCACTTCTGCAAATATGAGAAATCAGGCTACTTACCGAATTTTGTCCACAAACAAATAGTATTGATGCAGACGTTTGATTATTGCAAATGCCAGTATCAGTGTTATTATTTCTATAGGTTAACATTAACCACGTGTCTAAACATAAACAGTGAAATAATGAGTGAGAAATAAAAATATATAGATAAGATGAGCTAATCACATTTTGTTGATCACACCTGTTGTAACTAATTCAACAGTTGTTAATTTTCCAACAACAACACCAGTATCTGAACTATTCGTCCTATCTTTTTGAATGATAGCTGCATCGGCATCTGTTGCACTTGCTTTATTACATATACCAATATCAAAAATACTTGTATTGGTAGATGCAGATATACTGAAAAAAAACGGAAAATGGCAATACGTCCGGAACATCTTTTAAAAAGATCGTTTGAAAAAATAGCACAAAGTATGAGAAAATATAGTCGTAATCTCCCTCTCCCCTCCTTAGTCAATGTACTAAAGTTCAAGTACTTGATTACTTACAAATTTCGAAAAATACTTAGTCATCTACTGGGAAAGTATTTTTATAAATCAGTACTTGACAAGTGTTTCCTCGACTATTTATGAAAATTCATAAGTATCTCGAGATTTGATAAATGTTTGTGTGGTAGTACCTCGTTAATTACTTGTCAGACTAATCAAGCACTTTCTTAAATTCCTTTTTTTACTTGCAAAAATATCTCAATTTAGTCACTAGTTGTTCAAGCATTTGTAAAGATACTTGTACACAAGTACATTGACTAGGATCCCTCTCAGCGATTTGATTTACACAATGAATAGTCGTGAAGAGTAATTACACTTACGTTTTTCCATATATAGACCATTTTTTTAATCTATTATTCAAAATATCCTTTTCAGTATTATCCGTTGGTACCGTACACTCACTAGCTACAAAATATAATCGTGTAGTAATTGTGAATAAGATAAGTAATGTCTGATATATCGCCATCTACAAAAAATAATCAACAAATATGCATAAACATAATCCATTTATCAGTAAATATTTTGCAGCAAAATATTTCATGTGGCTTATTGAAATTTCTCATAATTTTATGAAATACTCAGATACTCAACTAATGTTATTGCTCAATTTTCCAAAAACGATTGTGTAGGAAAAAATCTTTACAGTTTACAAATATCAAAAGTTAAAATAAGTAACTTCATAAAAGGTATATAGATTTGCTTGAGTTTATTGTTAAATGTTCATCTTTTTTTGTCATGTCAGATTGTACACCTAGAAGTCCATAGTTAGACTGCTTCTTAAAATATAGAAGAATATCATCTATATCAATCTATTGAACGTCGAGATATAAGTATTTTGTTAAATCATAAGTATTCAAGTAGATACGCATGATTAAACATGAATAAAAGTAAACTAAATCTAAAAACTAAATATCAATATTGATTTTACGGACGTCTCGTCATCACTTCAGTATTATACGAGTTATATATTTGTGTAGAAATGAAAATTTGATGATACATCTAATTAAAAATCAAGGAGAAGAGTGGTATGCATCTATTATCAAGACTTTATTGTATTCAATCACCACATTTGCGAAATTTTTTTTCTCCGTTATTTTTTTCTTCTTTTTTTTTTTTATTTTAGAAGATGAGAACAGAAAAAAAAAACGAAAAAAAAGGGCAATGCGTTCTGTTATATTACATTTTTTTTCATGAAAACAAAATAAGGTAAATAACTAATTGTTTCAAATTGAGTATATTGAGAGAGAGAATGAGAGAAATATGTAAGGTGTATTCGATACGGAAGAGTCAAGAAAAAAAAACAACTTTGTTCGTTTTCTCTTTTATTTAAGTTATTTATTACAGATATCAATTCAAAAAAAAAACAAGATTCAAACCAAATACGCTTTTTTCAAGGATCTTCTAAGATAGAAATCTTGTAAGTGTATTCTTTTCTTTTTGTTTTTGACAGCTAACGGGTGCGCCATAAATAACTGCGCTGTTAGTAATTTAAATCTTTCTCCTCTTCCTTAGACTCAGTCGAACTGATTCTACTACCAAAAGATTCCCCGTTCAATTCTCTACAAAATGGCATATAAAAGACAAGCCAGAACTTTGAGACGTTGTTTCAGCTGAACAAAATGCGATGTACCTCGAGAACGTGAAAAATTTAACTAAAAAAAGGAATATTTCGCCGATAATAAATCAAATTGTTTAGTCGTGTCGAACCGAATATGCAGAATTGTAGCCCTTGAAATTCTCTATTGATTGGCAGCTAAGACGAATTTCTTTCCTTTATTTTGCGCTTACAATCATGGTTTCCGTAAAAGCCCTATCATTGCTTTTTCGAGTTACGTGTTAGGGCTACTCGCAGATTGATCATATTTCGGACAAAAGTAAACCAATTAAGTTCGCTCAGGTGTCATTTGGGAAAGAACATTTTTTCCTACTAAATTCACATGTAAACAGTATGAAATAATTTTGTTTTGAAAAAGAAGAGAAGCAACTTAGGATACGGCTTGTATCACTCTTTTAGCATAGATTTCAAATTAAAAACACTTAGTAGAAAACGATTACATTTTTCTCGTTTTCGAGGTACATCACATTTTGTTCAGCTGAAACAACGTCTCAAAGTTCTGGCTTGTCTTTTATATGCCATTTTATAGAGAATGGAACGAGGAATCTTTTTGTAATAGAATTAGTTCGACTGAGTCTAAGGAAGAGGAGAAAGATACTAACAGCGCAGTTATTTATGGCGCACCCGTTATAATAAGAGAAAACTGATACACATAGAGGAATTCGTGAACTAATCTTCAAATTGACAAAATAAATTTGGATTCTATGAGGTAATACTACAATATAGAGTGAACGCTTGCAGCCTTAAATAGAATTTTAAAGTGTGTAAGTTTTTCTGTTTTCTTTTATTTTGATATTAGCGTAACTTGTCCAAGAGAGCATACAAGCGAAAATAAATGCTGTTTAATAGACAGATTACAGTTCATGCCACATGGTTTCTTCTATTCATATATTGTAATCAAGTAAATAATATATTTTCTTTTTTCATTTAAACTAAAAATATTTTGTACGAGATCAATAACTAACATTTTATTTTATTTTAAAAAAAGTAAAAATTTTCGATTAATAACATTTTAAATCGTTGATCTTGTACAAATTATTTTTTTTTGACTTATTTTACTTTTTCTCATTTATGAAAAACTTTTTATTTATTCATTTACTATTGAACGGTACAATATGCAAGAAAACAGACGAATTCAAAAGTTATTTCGATCATAAAATTGATACATATGAGATAGTATCCATCTTTTTTTTGTTATAATTTTATAATGATCAAATATAAATCAAAAAATATGCCTTTATGAATGATGATAGGAGATATACGTGTCAACAAAACAAAAAAAAAGTATATCGTGAATATTTTTTTTTCTTCTTTTTGTTTGAAAAATTATGCAAAAGTAAAGTGATCATTTAATATCAATATGACAGGCTATCAAAAAAAATTTTAAATTATTTCGTTTGATAATAACATAGAATCCTTTTTTTTTTTTTGTTTCTATGTCTCCTTCATATCATGGTGTGTTCATAGTGTTTTTGGTAAGCAGAACGACTACTTCTGCTAAGAATAATATCAGCAAGATTCTGTATCTATTCTTACTTTTAAGTACAAGAACAAAACATTTTTAAGGAGAACCTTGACTGTTTATTACCATTGCAAAGAATGTAACAATATGAAAACTATGCGCATTTCTAAGTTTTGATTTTGTGAGCAAAAAGATTGATGTAAAAAAAAGTTTTTTTTAAACAAGTTATACGAGCAAGTACATTTAACATTTGTAATAGATAAGACTATACAAAACTTTTGATTTTTAACAGAATTAGTGTTTTTATCATTGCAGTAGAAAAATAAACTAAGTTAGATACTGTTTCTTTGCATAGAAAGAAAAGTTTTAATCTTTGTTTTAACAGTGATATCAGCATAGAAAAGTAAAATCGAATTAAATCAGCGTCAACAAGAAAAAATACGAGATTTTAAAATAGTTTATAGAAAATCTTCAATTTCGGGCATTGTTTTATAAGAATTACACATTGTTGGATATTTTACTACTCTAAATGTGTTTAGTGGCACACATGTCAAAATTAATTTGAAAAAAAAATACTGTTATACACACAAAAACAACAAAAATATTTTGTCTTATGTACCGATTAAAACCCAGTCAGTTTTTCTATTGCATCGTTAACGCCTCCGCTTATGGTTCCGATTCAGCTCTATTTTGCTATCTTTTTTTGGTCACAGAAGGACTATCTGAATAATTAGTAACTGTTAACTTTTGTCTGCTAATACCTATGTTGCTCAAGGCCAACAGTAATAAACATTTGTTCTCTAATAACTATAATTTGTTCAAACCTCTTCTATTTAGAAATTATGTGTTTATAAACAACAATAATTTCTCATAGTTTAATTAACGAATGAAAGATATTAAAGAAGAATTAATTCGACAAAAAGTTGATAATAGACATTGGCAATTGTTTGAATCACGATTAAAACAACAGCAAAAATCATCGAAAAATGATGAATTAAATTATACGAAAAAAAATGATTATTTTATAGTCGAACAATATGGTGATAAGCAAAAAACAATGCCAAACAAATACGTTTTGACACCAACAAAACGATGGCAAAAATTTTGCGAACAATTATCATGCACAACAACGGATACACACATTTTATTACAATTATTTCAAAATGTTTGGTTTAAGGATTGGAATACTAGTCCAAATACAACATTACTATCAAATAATGAGAACATCCCGTTTCTTGAACATCTAAACTTATTTTGTCATAGATTATCCGCAACAGACAGTGATAAAACAAAAATATTGGACATTTTAACTAATTTCTGGTCTGGAAAACACAAAGAAATCGATTAAGTAACAAAAAGAACACGATTTTATCCAGTTACTTGGTTTTATAAAAAGAAAATTCAATCATTTATTCTCTAATTTATATGTGATAATGTTAAAAGAAGATAGAGTGCTAAAGAACTCTTTAACTATGATACCGCAAACTGTGAGAAACAGATTACAATATTTCAAATCTTCATTTTCAAAAGCATCGCAGATTTGCTACTTAAATATTCGAAAGTCATTTTTATTATAGTATAGCATTAAAATAATTATTTTTATATGATATAACTTTGTAAACAACATTTTCTTTTAGAATATTCTGATATAATGTGCCGTTTCTGATCATTACTATTTTAAAGAAGTTGAAATTAATTTACTGATATTCTGCTAGCTAGGCGACTTTTACTGTAACACTCCGAATATGGGTAATAGTAAAACATGAAGACACCTACAGACACTTACAGACAGCTACATAGACACCCACAGAGAACCAAAAATAACTGCACAGACATCCACTTCTACGGACATGAGAGCCACACAGAAGTGAATGTCTGTGTAGCTCTCAGTGGCTATTTGTGGATGTCTGTAAGTGTCTGCGGACGTCTGTGGGTGTCTTCATGTTTTACTATTACCTCTCTGAATACTTTCATAGTTATAGTTACTAAAAGGTGAAAATTCCCAAAGCAATAAGCAATTTGTAGGTTAATTCTCAGCACATCAAAGAGTGGCGCCATAATAACACACGAGTAGAGAGTATTTAATAGTTGTACACTCAATCAATTGCCGGATACCAAAAAAACGGAAGAATAAGATTTCAGAACAGTTTTGCTATGCACAGTTTTATTCGTGTGCGACAGATTGATGTTTTCAAAAGAAGCTTGAACCTCACAGGTACGAATCCAGGATTTTTCGAAAGTTCAAGTGGTTTTTATGACTCAACCTGATTTTTGAGAGTAATTTGCTAGGAAAAAATGAAAATTTCGGCATGAACCTGCCACTCCACGCACTATAAATCCACCACTAAAGTCCATGGGTTCACCGCCGTTAAAGGTTATGCTAAAAGCGAAGCAGTTCATTAAATTCTATCAGAAATGATTATGACGACTATCAACAAACTAACCATGTATCGAAGGCAGGAGAGAATTACTTAACACTTCAAATTTTCAATGAAATATCAGAAATTAACTCAAGCCTCGATAGGACTAAAGCGAGACTTAAGTGCTTATACTCACTTGATGTAATAATATAGGTTGAATAGAAGAAGTACAACTGTTTTGCTCCATACTATAGAAATTCACTTAATACTAATTGGACATCTTTCAACAAATCAAATCGCCGAGTATCGTATAATGGGAGCAACGCTATGCTAGATGTATACTGCTTTTGACCTTCTAAGATAGAAGAACAACCTTTTTCTAATTTTTCAGATTTCGAAATGCATATATACTCATACAAAATGCTTCACAAACTTACTTTGTCAATCTCTGGAGTATATAGATTGCGTCGCTTTCAGAATCTCCGCGAGTAGAAAGCGTCGACATCTCGTCACTCTCCATATGCGCAAAGTGACATCATAGAAGTGACTGCCTGTTTTATTTGTGACACAGGTTGTGGAGAACTCACTGTTGCCAGCACTAATTCGTGAAACTTATTTATAGTCGACAAACATTTGTTTTGAGCCTTATCTCGTTTGCCACTTTGAAATATCTGCACTATCACTTATTTTTTCGTCGATTTTACAGCTGAAGTGAAGTTTGTCGTAGTTACGCTTTTAACTGAGTACTACTACAATCAGGGATGTTCGATTCTCGGTTCCGGAACCAAGAACCGCGATTCCGAAGAACCAGAAAAGAACTTTTCAGGCAGTAACGATTTAACGAAATAGAATTCATTGTATTATATATCTGAAAGCGAACCGGATTTATATTACATCAAACGGTTTTTCCGTGGAGGGAGAAGCTGACAACACTGTTTCTCATCTATACTGGCTGCGAACACCAACCGAAGGGAGCATTGTTTTGTATTCAAAAATATTTTTAGACCTCTGGAGATCTTTGCAGAGTGAAGACCTTTTAGTTTTACATTAGATTATGAACCTTCCACAACAAATCAGAAAAAAGTGTACAATATATTTCAGATGGTCCCCTAGCGAACGCCGACCGAAGAGAGGCGTGAGCGTTGTCGTGGATTCAAAAGTGATGAACATAAGTTCAGAAATATAAGTTTAAAAATCAAGGGACCGAGCGAGTGCAGTCGAGTGTTACCTTTGTTTGATTGAAGAAAAGAAATTTACGTATCATAGGTTTGAAAAAACGTAAAAAATTGATTTTTAAGAGGTATAGAAGTTGTATTATCGGTTTTTTCTTTCTGGTTGGATCTCAATTTTCGAAGGTTAAATCTCATTTTTATGGGTATTGCTAAAACACGCGAACACCCCCAAATTAAAATCTGAGTTAGCCAACCGATAGAGCTCGTCGAGCTGAGTATAGCAACGCCTAACAGCGAACACCCAAAGAAGTTTTTATAGTTTCGCTTTTTAAACATACATTTTGAATGAACATCCACGAGCACCCAAAGAACACCCACGAACACAAAGAAAGGGTAAGAACACCCAAAAAAGTGCGCCAAATTCATTTCCAGGTTATTCTGGGCTGAGGGTGTGGTGTGGATGTGGGAGTGAGGGTGAGGTACTGGTAGGCTCATCCACATCTCACCCTCAGCCCAGAATAACCTGGAAATGAATTTGGCGCACTTTTTTGGGTGTTCTTACCCTTTCTTCTTTGTGTTCGTGGGTGTTCATTCAACATGTATGCTTAAAAAGCGAAACTATAAAAACTTCTTTGGGTGTTCGTTAGGCGTTGCTATACTCAGCTCGACGAGCTCTATCGATTGGCTAACTCAGATTTTAATTTGGGGGTGTTCGCGTCTTTTAGCAATAC